TTGTCTTGCTGTAGCCTGCCAGGCCTGCATCTGTGATGCGCGTGTTTCTATAGATCCCTACCAGTGCGTGCATAACAGACGCGTTCACGCAGACTTTCCTGGGGCAGGCTCGGGAGGGTCGCATGTCAGATGTTTTTCGGTGGGTGTGCACAGGGGGCGGGGTAGAGGGAGGAGGAAAGGAAATGGGGGGCCTCTGGAGATAGGGATTCATGTGTGCATACACTACTTAAACCACAGGGGGTCTGACTGGGATTCGATTTGGTCCCTCTGCTCATCCTATCGCTCTTCAGTGCTGTCTCCTAAGAAGGAGCAGCTGCAGCCTCTCTTGGTGGGGCCCTCACTGGGAGACGGGGTCTCTCCTTTTCCAGCAGGTGGGGGTGGTTCAGTTGCATTCTCTGAATGGACTGGGTCAGGGCTATTTAAAAAGATACCCCTTCCGAATGGGTCTGTAGGAGAAGCTGCCAAAGGAGAGGGGGATGCGTTGTCCTGGATGGACCGGACACCCAGCTCTCCCCCAGGGCTCAGTCATGCCATGATTATTAGAGAATAGAGGGGTGAGCATTGGCTTTTAACCCTCTCCAGGCTTTGTCTGGTTCAGTAAATGCAGCACTGGTGAAAGTGCTGGATCAGGAATCCTAGAAATCAGTGTTGTCTCCTTGTCCCTGGGATGGCAGACATTTGGGCATGCGTCCCACACCGTACCCTGTGTCCTGACGCGGAAGGGCTCACCTCTAGGGGCTGGAGGGAATTCAGTCTCTTGGGCCCATTCAGTTCTTAGCTCCTCTGTTGAGACCACCAGCAATGGTGACACACCAATGATTAGCTGCTCTGGTGTTTGTGATGTGGGCACCAATCGGCCAGGAAATGAACTCGGACACTGAGGTGATGTCGGCCATATAAGAACCTAGCTAGAAATAAGGCCAGCAGACCGTTTCAGATAAACTGCCTTTTGGTGGGATGACCAAGCCCGGCCTAGGTTCAAATCAGTGACTGACTCTGGGACTGAGCAACAGGGGATGGATCACTTGATGATTCCCTGTTCCATTCATCCCCTCTGGGGCACCTGGCATTGGCCACTGTTGGAAGACAGGAGACTGGGCTAGATGGACCTTTGGTCTGACCCAGTGTGGCCACTCTTATGGTCTTACGACTCAGAGGTGAATGGGTCCGTATCTCCTTGCCCAATCGCCAGTCTCCTCCCAACACCTGCTAGTCAATCTCAGCGAGTGGAGTTTTCCTCCTGGAGGCATCTCCTTCAGGATAAGATCTCATTGCAAGAGGAGAAAACAACACAGCCTTAAGACAGCACTGTGATGCTGCAATTCTTGTGTGAGGTGCCTTGATTCCATGGTGATGGGCACATTAGAAATCGCTAGATTAGCTAGACCATCTCTTTGTTCCCTTTGAAACTGCTGAGTTTTGCCCAGGAGAGTGGCTGGTTGGATTCCCTGCAGCCAGGATGGTAGAACACATTCATCAGACAGCAGGTCATCTTAAACTAACAGTGGGACATTTAATAAGCAAGCTCTCCTCTTCCCTCTCAGTCTGGGACCAAAACCAGCGCAAAGGGGCCTGGATCCTTTCCAGTTGCCATCATCAGGCACTCACTGATCGGTCTCAGTCTGAGCCAGATCTTTGTCCTTTAACTTTGCTTCTCTTAACGATCAGCAAGGGGTCGGCCCTGGGGGGGGAGGGGAGGGGTATGTGTGTGACTTTATTTACACATGCCCTTTCCGCTGCCAAGCTGAAAGGAACTGTCAGCATTTACTGAGGTGTGTGACATCCAGGTATAGCCATGTAAAATGGGGGTGGGGCAACAGGCAACCTGACCATTCCAATCCTAGACACTTTTGAGGCTATTTTTAAATGGTTTGTGGTGCTCCTGGAAAGGAGAGATCGATGGCATTGGCCAGAGGAGAGCAGAGTGCAGACAGGTGCTGGGCAGTCCTGCCCCGCAGCCCTAAACTGCAGCCCCCCTGCTATTCCAGTTCTGGGCTCTCAGGCATAGCCCTGCCAGTGCCTCTCAGTCCTGACCCACAGCCCCCACCCCCCCTTGCTATTCCTGTCTGGGCTTCTCCTGAGCAGATATTGTCAGCCGTGCTCACTTGGGCCAGGCAGCGTGGTGGTACTTAGTTGCAGAAAAAATGACAGGAAGGGTTAGGTGGAGCCCATATAAGTCACTGTTGTGTGGCCCCTGGAGGGTTTGCCCTCAGGTCCTAGGAGGTCACTGGCTGTTTCACCAAGACCTGGTGTCTCTCATGGACATGTTTTCGGTTCCTATTCCTCTTTGGTCTTCTCTCCCTTTCAGTTTCCTGCCGAGTCTGTTTCCTTCCTCTTTCTTTCTGTCATTTGTTTCTCCTTGCTTCGTTCAGTCTCTCAGACCCTGGGAAGGCTTTTGTTTCTCAGCTCTTGCTTTGGTCTTGTCAAACAAAAAAGCAAAACCCGAGAGGCAGGTCTCATCCGCCAGCCGGAGTCCTCCACAATGAATTTCTGTACCCGCTTCTTTGCTGGGGTGAAGAGAAGCCTCCTCCCCCAACAACCCCACGCCCCAGGCCCCTCTCCTGGTGCTGGAAAGTGCTGATGATGAGAGAGACGTACTAACCAAAGCATTTCTGTAATTCTCCCAAACTGAGCACAAAGCTCTCCATGGCCTTTGGGCTCTGCACTATCCTGGAGCATGAACTACAGAGAACTAGAAGAGCTGGAGGCAACTGTGAGAGCCTTGAATTCAAAGCCTAAGCAGCCGCTTCCTCGAGCACTGTCCATGTGCCAGAGAGGCATCGTGGCTCGTTCGTAGCTTGGGTACCTAGGGGTAGGAAGGAGCATCCTAGCCCATTAAACTGGCTCCCCCATTCCAGGAAGCCGGCTCCTATTAGCAGGGGTGGAGGAAAGTTTGAGTGCTGGAGAGGGAGAAGATTCCAAAGATTACCACTGTCGTGCAGTGTGCAAGTTAGTTTTGTTTTCTAGTGGGAGGAGAAGGGTGGCGAGGTGTCCCTGATATCCCAGCATGCAACGCACGCAACCCTTTCCCCTACATTAGCACTTTCCAGCTGATGGCCTGAAGGTGCATGAGTGACTGGAGGCTCCCCAGGAGATAGGACAGTGTTTTTAACCCCATTTTGCAGATGGGGAAACTGAGGCACGCAAAGGGGTAGGGCCTGGACCCATGGCCACACAGTCAGGAATAGAACTGAGGAGTCCTGGCATACAGCCCTGTGCTTTAACCACCACATCCCAAACGGACATGCAAGTGTAGAGCTGCTGTTCCCAGCTTCAATGAGAGGAGCAGGGTGGGAAGACAGCTTCCTGGATTCTGCATGTTCTGTTTCCTCAGCCCCTCGGAAGCTGCCTTGATGCAGGAATTGCCTCCCTTGCAGCAGGTAAATGTGCATCGACGTGCAGCCTCTTCTGTGCTGCAGGAGCAGACAACTTGTCACCTGTTCAAATGGGGAGCATCGGAGGTCATTGGTACCCGTCTGGTTTGGGGAGTCGGTGAGGCTTGGACCTGTGTTGCCTGGAGGGACGGACAACTTTCCTTGTTAGTACGAAGTCTGGTAGCTCCAGCCTCCAGGAAAGACCTTAGGGCATCAGCTGGCACATCAGTGGAGCTCAGACAACAGCCATGAGCAGGAAGTCCCAGACTGCCCCCCCCGCCCCACAGCATGGCACCTGTGCAGTGTCTGTTCCAGTGCAGAGCGTGCAGGACTGGAGCGGTGTACTGGGGGAGGAGGCTGCATGGGGTTAGAGCAGTCAGTGCTGCCTGGGGAAGCCAGGGCAAAGAAAAGGTGTGAAATGGCCAGCACACTGGAACTGGGCCATTCTGTTACCTACGCGGCATTCCACTCCCCTGCCGTTTTCTTCCCCTTTCCTTGGGATCTGCAGGAGGCGAAGCAGCGCTGGCCTGTGCGGCTATTGTCTCACAATTACACCGTCAGCAGCCAATCTTATTGTCCCTTGAGTCTTGCCCATCTTGGAGCGATCAATACAAAGATTTTTGGTAGTTTTCAGTCAGTAAACGCCAGCAGTAATCGACCCCTGCCCCCGGGGCAGCCTCAGCAGAGATCCTGAGGACTGAACACCCCAGGGACCTGGCCTCCCCTCTGCCCTGTAGAGGGGTTCCCCACAGAGGGGTGGTGGTTCACGGGTTGGCTCCTTTGCTTTCTGCTTTCTGTGGCACACCAAGTGCTGCAGACAATAACCCCACCGGGACCAGGGGGGAGTTTGCTCCTGCTTCTAATTGACAAAAATTAGCAGCAATAAACATCCCCTGTGTTCCAGCCGATCTGAAAAGCTGCGGAAAGCGATGACTAAGGTTCCTCACAGCCCTGGGGCCTGCTGACTTGGGCTCTGCTCTGAAGCGGGCCATGATGTCAGTTGCACCCTGGGGAGCAGGGGAGGCGTATGTACCCAGTTCTAGCTCACAGCCACCCAGCTACGGCAGCGTTCTCTCTCTGTGGGGAGGCAATCCCTGTGCAGGGACATCTGGTGTGGATCTGGGCTTAATCTAAAGCCCACTGAAGTCAGTGGGGGAGTTTCCATTTGGATCGCAGCCTCACTGAGGGTGTGAGGAGGGGAAGGGTACCTCTTGTCAGTCAGTACCATTAAAAGTGACCAAACACCATTTCAGAGCCGGCGAAATTACGGACACACCAATGGAACTAATCCAGACTTTTCACTCCAGTTTGTCCCCAGCACTTATTGCCAGAGAATGTGAAACCAAAATAAACAGGGAAGCGGCTCTGTAGCCAGAGCACTTTGCTACATAAAAATAGCATAGTGCTAAAGCCACGGCAGCCCCTGTGCTCCTGCTGCCGGCACAGGGGCGGTTACTCCGAGTTATATGGCTTCCCCTGCAAGCCGGACCGCGTGTCTAGTGACGAGAAATCATTACAAATTACAGACTTGGAGAGACTGGGACCAAGTGAGCCGCCTAAATGCTGCCCGACTAGGCGCTCTCTGTGCTGTGTGTGACAAATAATGACTGACTTTTCCATTGCCAGGAAATGAATCACTGAGGAGGCCAAACCAAGATCTAGGAAGCTGCTGGAAGACTGATGCATACTAACTTCACTACCTAATAGTCTGTCCAACCGTTACTAACCAATGTCAACAACTAGGTAACAAACTGCCTTTATCTCTGGCTGCCCCTTGCCCTGGGGTCTGGGATCAATGGATAGGAGTGTTAGCTTCCCACCCGCTGGAAATTGTACCTCAAAGTGGTAAGGCAGGACTTAGGTCCCCCACCCCCACACATGAGCTGTGTATAAAATGCACCATGTGTTAGAGGAGACCAGGGACTTCGAGGGTCATTAGGAAAATACGTCAGGGGAGGGCTGGGCGAACTGACCAGAGGGAAATCCCAAAGCTCCCTTTGGAAGGAGCAGGCTGGGATGTGCTGCTGTGCAAGGGATCTGAGTCCAGGGTTGGGCAACGGGAAAAGAGCTTCAGCTGGGGAGCAGGGGCAGCACTGTACACCACTCTCAAGCCTCCGCTGGAAGGGCAGGTTGTCTCACTGCTACAGTGAGGTCTTGAGCCGGGGGCAGGAAAGTAAGTTTCTGGGTTACAGGGGTCGTATCTGGGCCGCACCAGCTGTTTTCATGCCTTGGAGTGTAGGATGTATCAGCTCGAATTCAAGTTCACCCGCTCAGGCTCCTGCCTGCAATGGCCGGTGCCGGAGGTTTGAAAGGAATGCCGAAAAAGACCTCAAGCCCTAATGCACCTGGGCTATTGCCTGACGGAGACAAATGTCCTCCTGCCGTGCTCAAGTCAGCTCCTGAAGCCTGAGATCTGAGTTTAGCTTGTACATTACTGGTCATAAAATCCAGCCCTGGCTTGTGGCTCGCCAGCCTTCTGCAGCAGCTGATTCCATGCTCTGGCTGTGGCGAAGTGTTTCCTTTCATTCATTCTTACATGACCTGCCTTTAATCCCATGATGTGACCTTCGCTGCAGGCTGCGCGGCCCGCGCATGAGCCTTGGGAGGAAGAGACATGTTGAAGGGGAGGCACTGTCTGTGCTCAAATCCCCAACCCAGTCTCCATCCCACACTCTCTTCAGGAGCGCCAAGTCCCAGACCCTGCAGGAAGGAGAGTTAGTGCAGCGGCAGGGCCGTCGTACGATTGAACTCACCACGAACTAGCTGCTACGGTGCTAGGTGCACTACCTTCAAATCAGACTTCAAATAATGTGCCTACCCCAGCACAATTCCCCCCGGCAGACCGTGCTGCAGGGGCCCCAGCGTGTGAGAGCCTGGTGACCTACGTGTGCATATGTGACACACGGACCCTGAGGCCTGCCCTGGGTTACTGCTGATGTGACATCTGATCTCGTCACTAGCTGGAGGGTGGGGAGAGCCGGGAGGTGGCAGGGCAGAGCCCTAGTAATCTTAGCTGGAGGGGCTCTGCAGGGCACAGAGAAGTCTGCTGCCATGGTGCTGCTGGCTGCCACGGGTGGAGGAAGGGGTGGAGGAGGTGGTAAAAAGGGCTACAGGGCCTTTAGTTTTCTTCTCATTGCATCAGCTGATGGCCCCAGAGGTTCATGAGTCCGAGCTAGGAGCATCAGGGAATGTCTGGGTCTCAGGCCCGCTTCCTCTGGAGAAGCACAAAGAATCCCAAAGAGGAAGAAGCCTGGAGTGGGAGCCCCTAGGAATAAGGGGTGACCGTGGCGAGTGGGGGATGCTAGAGCCCTTCCAAGCCAGGGAGTGAAGAACCGCCTCCCCTTCGGCTTAGCCACACTGGGCTGGAGGGTGCTTGTTCAGGATGTGCTCCCAGAGGTGCTGGCTCCGTGGGAGCTGGGGGTGCTCAGCACCTTGTGTCCCTGGAGAGGAGAGAACTAGCAGAAATGCCATGTGCTCTGCGGCGTGCGATGCAGATGCCAGGAAGCCGGCTCGCTTCCCAGACTGCCTTGACAGTTCTGTTTGTTCTGTTCCAGGGAGCAGCCGATCTTCAGCACTCGAGCCCACGTTTTTCAGATCGACCCGGCCACGAAGCGGAACTGGATCCCTGCCAGCAAACATGCCCTGACCGTCTCCTACTTCTACGATGCCACGCGCAACGTGTACCGGATCATCAGCGTGGGAGGCACCAAGGTGAGGGCCACACGCAGACCAGGCAGCTTGCCAGCAAGCGTCCCTCTGGCCGTGATCACTGAGTGCTTCCCGCTTCCCTCAGACACCACTCTGGGCAGCCCTCAGAATGGAGTGCTCGAGCATCTCCACAGCCGGGCATGGAAAGTGTTACAGCCAGTGTCTTCACACTGACGTATTTAATATCCAAGGTGAATTTAGTGCTGGTGGAAAGACTGATAGCCCTATGCACAGAGTATGCTCAGCCAGTTCCTCCCCCCGGTGCCTGGCCTTGTGCTGGGGGGACCACCTCTTGGCCTCTGAGGGCTGCTCTGGTCCTTCTGACCCTTGGCCTTTCTGCTGATGCCAGTTGTGGGGCTGGGTTTTGTGGCAGGCCCTAGACACAGGACCCATTCATGTCACACGGCCTGTCCGACTGGAGTGACCTTTGCTCACTGGTAACTTGGGCTGGTGTCCTAGAGGTAAAAGGCTCCTCTATAGCACCATGATGGGTGAATGATAAATGTGAGGGAATTCCCTGAGTCATCCCACGCTAGGGAGCTTTGGAGAGTACAATCCATCTTGCAGACTACAGCAATTCCACTTTGACTGAGGGTCCTTGTTCCTTCCCCCCACAGGCCATCATCAACAGTACCATCACCCCCAACATGACCTTCACAAAAACCTCCCAGAAGTTCGGACAATGGGCGGACAGCCGAGCCAACACAGTATACGGGCTGGGCTTTGCCTCAGAGCAGCACCTCTCCCAGGTAACGTTGCAGGGGCTGATGGCAGGCTGACCCACCCAAGCAATGGGTGGGAGCGGGGGGAGAATCGCTACATAATCTAATCCACCAGGAATGCCAAAGGAAGTATCAACTCAGGTGTCCATGCTCTGAGGAGGAAGGGTCTGGGGACAGAATCAGGTACAGTCTGGTCTGGTGCGGTGTGGGGCCGGGAAGCCCTAAGATATGTGGGGGACAGAATGAATGTCAGGGTCACATTTTCACAAGCGCTTGAAGTGACATTTTAAAAAGTGACGTAGGCTGCTAGGACCCAGATCCTCACAGGTATTTAGGCTCCTGACTTTCACTGATTTCAGTACCCTTGAGGACCTGCCTGAGGGTGTAAGGGTCTGTCTACACTGCAGTCAGAGGGGCACTGCAGCATGTGTAGGCACACCTGAGCTAGCTTTGATCTGTCCAGCTCAAGTGACAATAGCAGCGACTCCTGTACAGCCCTTCTCAGGCCCCGGTCTGTACTCCCGCAGCTTGCCCATAGGGGCTGGAACTAGGGGTGCAGGGGTGCTGCTGCACCCCCTGGCTTGAAGTGGTTTCCATTATAGACAGGGGTTACAGTTTGGGTCCATGGCTCTCAGCACCCCCACTATACACATTGTTCCAGCCCCCCTGAGCTCGGCCTTACCGCTATTGTTGTTGGCGCTGGCTGGATCAAAGCAAGCTCGGGAATGTCTACGGATTGCACTTAGCCACTTCTGACAGCGTTATTGAACACATCTGTACAGCATGGGCACCCCCGCAGCAAGGACTCAACTCCCCACGCCCCCTTCCAGCAGGCACTGAGCTCAGTGGAAAAGCCAGCACGGACTCTTGGTCCTGGTCTGGGATGGGATGGGGCCATTCTCTGGACATTACCGCTAGCTTGGGGCGGAAGCAAAAAACATGCCAGATCCCTGGAAAGAGGCAGAGAGAGGGAGAAATAGCGACAGGAGGAGGGAAGTAAACCCTAGCAGCTGTTCTCGCTTGTCGGACGTTTCTGTAAGACAGTAGAGTGACCCTCTCCCCATCTCCCCCCGTTCCCCTAGTTTGCGGAGAAGTTCCAGGAGGTGAAAGAAGCAGCCCGTTTGGCGAGGGAAAAATCGCAGGATAAAACGGAGCTGACCAATCCAGCCCTGAACATCACGTCTCACCAGGTAACTTTGGCAGCTGCATTGGGGCTGCTAGGGAAAATGGTCACCATCCCATTGTCCTCTGGCAACAGGGGCAGAGCCCATCACTTTCCCCAGAGCACCAGCCGGAAGGGCCCTGAATGCAAATCCCCATGGGAGGCACCAGGCACTGAGCCAACCGGCCTTAGCAATTCCAATCCCTGTCACTCACGTGCATCTACAAAAGGCCTCCCACGTCTGCGGAGAATGGCCCGTGCCAGGGCTCACTGGGAACGTTTCATTAAGGTAGTGCTGATGGAGTGGGGTAGTCTGTAGCCAGCCCCTCCACTTCTCTCCCCTGGAGACCAAGCCGCAGCCCAGGTATCCCTGGTGGCATGTTGAAGGCGTGACCTGTCTCCCTAAACCAGCCTCCAGTGCCTGCCCGACGGGGAGAGGACGGGCCGTGGTGCGTTCTACCCCTCTTCTCCCCACGGCAGCTCTTCAGGGTGCCCTGTGGGTGCATCCCAGAGGTGGCTCTGCATTTCCCTGATCTCCTGGCAACAGGAGGGGAGCTGGGGGCTGAGGACAGATGGAGTGGCAGCAGAGGAGGAGGAGGCAGTGCGAACAGCACCTTGGCCTGCAGGAAAAAGAGGAGGAGGAGGCGGCTCTGCGGAGACTGGAAATGCCGTACATGGTGGAGCAAAGGGAGACATCTCTCCAACTTGACTCCCATTGTCTCTCCCTAAGGGATGGGAAATGGGGAAGGGAATAGAGAGCAGAGTGAGGGCAGCAGAGCCAGGGCCCACAAAAGCGATGGGGCTAGTCGGGGATCTGTCAGTCATGGGGCGGGCTCGGCGTGTACTGGGGACAGAAGACTTCCAGCACCTCGGTGCAGGCTCACAGCACAGCGCTTAAAGCAGCTGCTAGTTCAGAACTGCTCAGTGTACATGCAGCCCCGGAGAAGGTGTCAGCGTCTCTCCTTCCCTACTGCCTATTCGACTCCACAGCACTAAAACTGCACCGAGGCAACCTGACCATATCGGCTCCTGCTCTGAACGGGGGTGGGTGCAGGGCAGGGGGTGTGTGGGATGAGGCATCGGCCCTTTATGCTTCCTCTCATCTCTCTCCCCCTTCTGTATGTGGGAGGGAGGAGGCAGAGGCAGTGGGCAGCCTTCCCCGCCAGCCTTGTTCAGAGCGCCAGGTCAGGGCCACCATTGTTACAGCACACAACTCGCTGACAGCCTTGTCTACTGCCTCCGTGTGCACATACCATGCTCAAGGCCATGATACCAGTGTCTGGGTGGGGGAAGTTGTGTCAACTGGCCAGGTGCATTGTGGGCAAGGTCACCTTCCTCTGCACCATCCGAGATTGACTGCTGCTGGAGGAGGCAGGGGGGGAGAATTATCTCCCCCGCCCCATCCTCCCCCTCCCCCCCGACACAGACAGGTGGGCTGCTCTTTCCTCTGCAACGCCTTGCATGTGTAATTCCCAGCTCCACCCTTGTAGTGCTTAGCTTCATCTCCTGAGATCCGGGCACCCAGCCCTTCCATCCATGGAGCTACACACAGCTCTCCCCGGCTCTGCTCCTTCGAGGAGTGCGGCTGGCTCTTCGGGGTTTGAACCCCCATCTCTTGCTGCCGAGCGCACACCGCCCCTACAGGTCACTCAGCCTCCAGTGCTCTGTAACACCTCCTCCGTAGACGACACGGGGCCTCATTCCCCTCTCATGCCAGCCTCAACCGGGAGCTGCCCCATCGACTTCAGAGACGCTACCTCAATGTAAAACTGGGGGGAGTGAGAGGAGACTCAGGCTGCCCTCCTCCTCTGTCTGGGTCTGGTGCTGGCAGGCACTCGGCAGGGCCGGGCCTGGGAACGTGCTGGGCACTGCAGTCTCTGAGATGGAATGCCCTGTCAGCAGCCGACTGATACTCCAGCTCCCATGTCAGGGATTAATATCCCACCCCCGGCAGCATCGCTTGCTCACCCCTGGGGCGTCTACTTGCAGCACAGCCTTTGGGTTTGCACCCCTTGTCAGGGCGTAGCCTCGCCTGGAGCAGCTGCTGCAGTACAGCGAGAGAGATCCATCTACACCCACAGTCCATCATAACCCTACTGCCTGTCCCTAGACCCCCGTCGCTAGTCTGTATGCGCACACTTGCACTGCCCCTCCCAAACCCCACCAACCTGCAGGCATACGCACACACACCCTTTCCATACTTCTCACTGTGTGCCTGTACACACATGCACCATCCCATACACCTTGCTGCTTGCCTGTACGGACACACACTCCCTTGCCACTGCCAGCCAGCACACACACGCTGTCCTGCACACCCCTCCACTGGCCTGCGCACACACCCTTCCATACAGTCCATCTTTGGTCTATACACACACACCCCATCCTGTACAAACACCCCAGACACCCTCTTGCTGCTTGCCGTTTTTGGGTCTGTCCATTAGCAGGGCTTCACACGTGAGCCTCGTCCAGAAATAACTGATTGATCAGGCCTCCCTGATTCCCTGCGTTTCCCTCAGCTCCAGCGTCCTTAAGCTTCAGACTTTCAGAGCCATGGATCTCACTTTGCAGCAGCCCTCCTCTTAGGGCCACTTACCCGTCCATCACTGCCTGCCTCTGCAGACCCAAAGTGGCGAGTTGGGCGCCCGACAAGGCGAGGCCCCTAAAAGCAGGGGGCAGTTTTGAAAATGTCCCGAGGTGCTGAGCACCCCAAGCTCCCATTCACGCTGTTGGAAACCAGACTTCCCCTTTCCCTGCCTCAGTTTCCCCAACTGTAAAACGGGGGTGATAGGTAAGGGGATGGGGCAAGCAGGGGTGTGTGTTTATAAAGCACTTTGGGATCCATGACATTCCTAGTCACTCTTCCTGGTCAGCACCTTTCTCTTCAGGCCTCTCCACGCTGTGACTTTCAGCATAGCTCATGGCCCTGCATCAGCAGATTCCTAGGCCAGGTGGTTGTCCTTACCCTGGAAAGTCACTGAGATCCGGTAGCTGGGTGTTTGCGTGCTCCCTATAAACCCTGGAGGACGCCACTGGTCCCAGGACTGGAAGGAGAAGGCTCGGCCAATCCCAGGCTGGGGGGCTCTGATGTCTAGCACTCACGCTGTCTTTTTATAGATCAGTTTGTAACTTCTGTGCCTAGTTTCTTCCCTTCTGTCAGCAGACGTGCGGGGAGCTGGGGGCTCTCAGGTGGCTGCAGGGTATAGAATCTGCTTGTGCCAGCTGCATATACATCCCTGCTGTGTGGTGTCTGTTCTCCCCAGATAACAATCTGGAAGGATCTTTTGATGAATCCCGTTGGGATTCTGTCCTGATGCAAGCAGGGAGCGACAGTGCCGTGGAGCAGGGCGTGCGCTTTGGGGCAGGGGCTGCATCTCCCTTGTGTTCAGAAAGTGTCTAACGCCTGGCTCCCCTGGCGTTAGACGCTACTGCAGTATGAGTGGCTCCTGCCTTCTCCATCTTGGGGCTCCCTGCTTGTCCGAGCTCACCGCTCACCTGCTAACCCAAAGAGCAGAAACGAGACTGGGCAGCTGAACTCAGCGTCCTACCCAGCGGGGCAGACACCAGCCACGGGCCCCTGCAGGAGCCACACTCTGCGTCTCCCTGACAGGTTCATAGGTCACTATGTCTTGGAGCCCCCCAGGGAACAAGGCAGAGATGCCTCTGATGACAAAGGGGCCACTGTGGTGGGGCAGCAAGGCCTGAACCCCTGAAGTCACTCACTGTTAAGTGATTCAGCACCTCGTGCATGGCCTTCAAGGGGTCAGGTTAGCGGCCAGGACCCCATCGGCATTTACCAAGGGCAAGTTTGGGGCCAAAGAACTTATCACCTTAAAAAAAATGCACATAAAGAGGTAGGAACATCTGGTGAGCTCATCATGGAGCAGCTGGACTCTGAGCCCACCAGCTCAGAGATTTTTGTGCTAGGACTGCTGCCAGAGGCACAAGACAGTCACCACGGGCTGGGGCAGTGAATGGGGGAGCCACTAACCAGTGCAGAGAGGGGCTTATTAATCTGAAAACAAAGCTGTGCCTCTGTCATCCATCTATCCCTCCATCTGTCTATCCATCCATCTGTCTATCCTTCCCTCGCTCGCTCCCTCCATCCATCCATCTGTCTATCCCTCCCTCCATCTATCCATCTCTCCCTCTGTCTAGTTTGTGTGTCTGCCTGGTCAAATCTTTTGCCCATCCTTTGGTGTCTTGGGCATCAGTGCTGGTGTCAATCAAACAAAGAGACCAGGTGGGAAGGAAGCACACACCCCTCCCCAGTCCTGTTCTAGCCCCTCCAGCATCCCTTTCTGGAGATTCCCCCACATTAACCTCCACAGTCTAAAGCCCTGCAGCCTTTGGCAGCCTTCCTGGAGCTGAGATGGGATCTCTCCATTCAGCGCCTGTTGAGGTCATGTCTAGGCAGGCCACAGGGCGTTGCTGTTGGTGATATGAGATGCTCCATCTCCCCCTTCCCTCCCAGGAGATGAGCACCCCCAGGAGCTGAATGGAATCTGGGGTCACCCCACGGCAGTGCAGAGCGCTGACCCATGGGGCCCCACACCTGAGCTCTTCTAACGAGTCACCCTATGTAAGAACCTGGGGACTGGCAGAGACGCTGAGTGACCACGTGTCCCAGACCTGCCTGATGTGTGGTAACCCCCCTGCAGGTGCTGCCAAGCACTGTCATCAGCTCCAATGGGCCAGGAGACGATAAGCTGTTCCGGAGCCAGAGCGCCGACGTCGAGATAACAACGGAGAAGGAGCGGCTGAAGAAGATGCTCTCCGAAGGGTGAGGCGTGGGCTTAGCTGGGGCTTTCAGGTCCCAGCCCAGCTGTTCAGGGCACTCTCAGGTCCAGTCCCCAGTGGGGAAGGGGGATCCCAGCATCTCCCATCCAGGGGGGAATTAACTCTTCCCTCTGCCCTGGTCCCCAGCTAACGTTGTTGCTTCCACAGACTCAGGGCAGGGTATAAACCCTGGGACCCATCACCATCTCGAGCCTAGTGCTCGGCGCGGGACCCTTTTCTGTTGTTCTCCTTATGGCTGCATGCTGCCCCTCAAAACCCACTGCTGCCTTACATGAGGACATAAGAACAGCCATGCTGGGTTGGACCCATGGTCCATCTAGCCCAGTGTCCTGTCTTCGGACAGTGGCCCCTGCCAGGTGCTTCAGAGGGAATGGACAGAACAGGACAATTATCGGGTGATCCATCCCCTGTCGTCCAGTCCCAGCATCTGGCAGTCGGAGCCCCCATCCAGGCCATGGGGAAATACATCCCTCCCCATTCCCCCACCAGGGGAATCCCTGCAGCTCAGGGGTGAAGCATGTTCGCCAAGCAGCTTGTAGGCACAGTGAGTCATTGGGCCGGGTGTCAGAAGATGTTCACACCTGTCTAGCGGGCCCAGGGCTGGGCTGGTGGTAATTCCGCTGGGGATTCCAGGCGGAACCTGTCCCTTTCTCTTGTAAAGTCTTTCGGCCGGATTCTGCCCTGGGACTGCCTGGGGTGGGGGTGGGGAGTAATGCCAGTGTTTGCATGTTAGGATGTGTTTGATGCTAAGTGTCATTTGACCCCCCCGCAAATCCTCTGGGCTTTAGTTTGGTTCCATTGAGTCACTTTACTGCAATGCAAACTCGGAGCCGGAGCGGCTGGGTGGGTTCCAAGCTCCAGGCTGCAAAGCCCCTTCCTGGCAGCTCAGCCTCCTCGCCGTGGCTGCTAATCTGGCAGTGGGACGTCCCCAGCTCCAGCACCATGCAAGCCTGTTGGTCCTGGGCAGCCGAGTCATCCCGTCAG